TTTTCCTTGAAAATACTGCTGTTAGTACGCTGTTCTTTGTGAGGCTTTCTCTCAGGACTGTTACACTAAGCTTCCTTGCAGTTTTACTTCTCTTTATGTTTGTTCTGAAGACAGTGTACATTTAGAAAAATTGCCCTACTCTTTGATCTAAAATTAACTTTAGTTAACAATTTCCAGTATAAAACCAATTATAAAATGCTTTGTTAGGCAAGGAGTATGTTCTGCTTTTCTATTTTGCCTATATTTTATCATGGTTGTCCTTAAAATCTGTGTATATGCTCTTAATACATCCTTTCAGTTCTCCATAATATCACCAAGGCTTTAACAGAGAACAATTGTATAGTTGGAGGACACGTAATAGGCTACTAGAAGAAATATTTACATCTGGCATGATCAAAGCTTTTGGAGTATATGAATGTGTATGTGGGAGGTCTAATTTTTATGTGGGTGGATTCACAAAAGACTAAAACACTGCAGTACTTAACCCCTTTCCCTTTGTGAAAATTCACTTCCTCAAAATGAAAAAAACATGTAGTACCTGATGCTTATCTTTTGTTTTTCATTTCAAGGAGTAGTATTCATTCTTCTGCTTGTAAGTACTTGTTTAAAGCATAGAGAATTTTTTTTGTATTTCAGCCCCTGTAGTGGCTTATTTAGCGAGATGCTTATCTTGCTCGTGATGTTTTTGCATATGTTGGAACATACACACTTTTTAGAATTTAAAAAACTGATAATTTTAACACCATTTTGATAGTCTGTAGAACTGTTGTGGTAGGAGCACTACTGAATTTTCAGTGTTTGGTAATAGCTACGTCTTCAGGTTCGATTTCTGATGGCTTAGTTCCTGCGGCAGTAATCAGCTGTGAGCGGCTTCTAGAAATCTGTCATTTGAAATTTTTTATTCAGTTACTTTAAATAGTTACTTACATTATGAAAGGCTATAAATACTCAGTCATTTGACTCATCTCTGTTAGCGTTTTGTTTACATGACTCTGACAGGGAAGTTTCGGATTATAGCTGACCTGAGCTAACAGCTTGCTGAACGGGGAGGTCTCGCTCTCCCTTTGGCCTCTTTCCTTGCCCCCGCTGCCCTGTGATCCTCCCTTCCCCGGCTCCCAGCTGTACCAATTCTGACTGCAGGGTAACCAGTCCAGCCTGCCAGCCGAGCAGAAGAACCCACACGCCAAGTTGCATGCCAAATTCGTATTCTGCTATTCTGCGCGTTAATTTACCAGGTGATCAGCAGAGTACCTGAGCTGGCTGGAGGTAAGCATCAGGAGCCCATGGCCCGAGGGGGCTTCAGGGAGAGGAGAGCCACCTGCCCTTTTTGCCCCTGGTGAACTTCCAGCTTGCTCAGACCACTTTCTGAAGTCATAGCATGAGTCATGGACACAGCATCATGTGTAATATGTGGCTTCTTGAAAATCAGCCCTGTTTTGCAGGCAAATGATGATGTGTGGAGCAGTTCTTGTAAACAATTAATACGTCAGTGAAGACATGTACGTTTATTTTTAGAAGACATACACCTTTTGTGGGTATCTTAAAAGATTTTGTACGTGCTTACAGCATCCATTGCTGTTACTTTTAGAGCTGGGGTTCATCAAAGCAGTACAACATTTTCCCCTCTGAAAGCGTTTTTTACCTATTAAATCATGGGTATGTATGTAACTTTGCTTGCTGTTATTTATCTGTATTACTTCAGCACTCCAGGCTTAGGGAGTCGATAGACCTTTTTTGGATACTTGCTCCATCTCTTTGTTGTCCTTGAGGCAATGGTAGTCCCCAAATCTGATCTTGAACTATTCTAGCACCAAATTTGTGTGAACTGGTATCAAAGTCAGTTAGTATCAGTGCGCTTTGTAAGTAACGGCAGCTGAGGAAGGGATTCAGAAACCATGGAGCCATTCCTGATGCTCTGCAGTAGAGGGATGGGATGGGCAGGTGGAAGCAAAAATTCTTCATCTGCCAGAGTATGATCTGTGTCAACACTTCAAGGAGGCCGCTGTGCTATCTCCTCTAGCACAAAACCCAAGGTGGGTAGGCTCTTACCCAAATTTTTGAAGCCTAAGTTTCAGCATTATCAAAGTAATGTTGCTTTGTTTTCCTCTGGTCTCAACATCAGAACTGATGCATGAGTTCGGTTGATCAGTTAAATGGTGTCTGCAGTTCACAGAAGGGCGGTAGGCATCTTTTGGGTCAGTACTGTGTTCAGGGTCTTCATGTTTTTCCTGTGTGTTAGACCTCCTTTATATGTTTTTCTTGTTATTTTTTTTCTCTTCTCTTCTTTGGGGAAAAAAAAAAAAACCAAAACACTTTACCATTTCCTTTGCTGCAACACAAGGATTCCCTACAAGATTGCTGTGCTATGTGACCACAAAACTGCCTTTTCTTATGTTGAAAATTTGCTAGCAAGCAAGTTCAGTCTAAGCAGTACCTCAGCATTACTTGTTTTGCTACCTCTTGGTAGTTTTCAGCATGTTCACGTAATAACAGAATTAGAGGCCCCAATGCATGTTTTGGTGCATTTCTCAGTAGTCCAGTGTTCTCATTGACAAAGAGAGCATCACCATATTTGTACTTCAGGAGTCTAAATCTTAAAAGGGAAAAAAAGACCCCAGAAAATGGCAGGTACTTTAAATATCTGCAGTTGTATCTATAATCAGTCCTCCGAAGCAACAGCTAACTTCAGGAAGACAGACAGCAGTGGGACATAACATGTTTGGGTTTTAGCTCCCATCATCACTTAATTTGCTAAATATTCAAATACAAATAAAGTGACACAAGCAAGAGATATTATATAAATATTGACAATCGGAGGCCTTCAGTAATCATCCGTAAAACTCTGAAGGATCATCAGAATTCAAAAGAGCTGGGTTTAAGATGTTGTGTTTTGTAAGTGTTTGTAACCGGGATGTTTGTTTCAGGCTCAGAACCCTGCACTCCATTTTCATTTCTGTTCTTCCACTCTTGAGGATTGCCAGTATTTTTGAGGTCCCCATGGCACTTGAATGAAACTGTGTTTTCTACCTGAGCCTAAGCAAATCAAAACAGAGAGGACAACCATTGTACCCATTCTTGGAGTATCAGACTGGTACCAAGTAGGGCACAGAAACAGAGAAAGCAAGTTTAAAAAAAAAAAAAGTCCTAGAAGGAAATGTCAGCAAAAACAACACCTAAAATAAATGGTGTGGGAATGCCGCACTGCACCCCTGCAAGCTCTCCCTCACGGACAAAGCTGAGGGATGTCCTGATACAGTGATAAGTCCTAACATGAAGAAAACACAATTGAACATTTGATTTTACTGTCTAGCAGAGACAAACTGCGTATGTAACATTATTAGTGTCACCAAGAGATTGACTGCCTGCTTTCCTGTTGCTTGTTCAAGGAGATTTCCATTTACCCTCATCTAACTCCAAGATAAAGAAGGGACCATCTGTTCTTTCTCCTTCACTCCCTTCCTTATTATGGTCCTTTGTTCTCATGGTCTCAGATACTAATTCATCCTCCCCAATGTCCTCGGTACATTGCCTGGTCTGTCAAATACCGTGTACCCATCTTTCCGTCGGTCTGTGTTGTCCTTAGTTGTTTCCTGCGCTCCCTTATTCATTGGCACACGTATTTGCCTAGTCCTGGTGTTTTACTGTACGTTTCTCTGCTGTGCCAACGTACTCTAGAAAACCTGCAGCTGGCCTGAGGCCCTGGGAGGTGTCACAGAATAGAGGTCCGTGCTGCGGCTCTGAACGTGGGTTGTGAAGGACAGATCTCAGCTGCACTGCTATGCCTCTTTCATGTCAATAATCATTCTCCTTCGTGAGAAATGCTTAAATACGCTCAGACACAAAAAGTAAGGTCTGCCTTCCGTGTCTGTATGGATTTTTACCGAATAATTCTGATTCCGCTGTGTTGTCTGCTCGCAAAAGACAGCCTTCAAGAATGACATGTCCTTATGATATCGCCACTTAGAAGACAGACCATTCAGTGAACAGTTGTTCTTTTGCTGGTGACTATGGACAAGGATGAATTTTGCCAAAATCCATTTTACAGTAATGGGGATTTTACAGGGGCTTGTTCATTAGCTCTCCTTTAGTCCTCTTTCTGCATTCCCATTAAAAAGAGAAATTGCATTAATGTTACCAGTGGAGAAACTCGTACCTGTGAACGCAGTTGTTGGAGTTCTCGTGCAAACGGGGCTTCTGGCATTTTTATGTACTCCGTTATTGAGGGCAGCCCTAGGAACCATACAGTTAAAACAGCATCTGCCCAAATAGAGCAGTGGGGAAGTTTAGGGAAGAAATGCGGTGTGGATGATGGCTTTGTGTACGGTTCTGGCATGATTTGTCGGTTTCTTCGCTCCCTCGGGAAAATACTGTAGCAGCCGATAGCAAAACCTGTATAAATACAGCTCTGTGATGGTACTGTAAACAGTGTCTGCCTTGCCCTTCTTTAACAGCCCCGAGCCCGTCTTGCATGCTTGATCTCTCTGACATATGTATGCATGTGTGTGTATATATATGTATGTATGTATATCTTTATATAAAAGAGATTGCAAACCAAATAATAATTCATTTTCTATCCCAGCCCTTTAAAAAAATATAATGTGCTGTAGGTTTTGAGTTCCAGTGAAACATCAGATTTAAGGCATAGCTGCAGTTTTGCAAAAATAGTCACTGTGTAATAGTGTCAGGACTGTCTCTGGAGATGTTTCTAACAGACATCTTTGTATATTTAAACCCAAATTAATGAATGTCACTGCATGGCCAGGAAAAAAATATTAAGCGTCAGCATTTTCAGTTGCTTGGTGTATTATTTTGGAATTGAGAAGAGGCCCCAAGTGGTACAGAAGTAAACATTCATCTAACTTTTTTGCAGTATAATTCATCATTCTAAATGTGCTTGTGTAAATTCAGCATCTGTTTTCAAGAAATCATTTTTGTGATGATTTTATTTGAAAATGTTTGTGGTCTTGCTATACGTTGTTACGCCTATTTTCTCTCAACAGAGTTTGCACTTAGGATAGTGAATGCTCCAATGGCCTTGGATTTAGCATTCGGCATACTGTGTGAGCTGCTCCAGCGGTGGGGGGAGATCCGTGCCGGTGTACCGATCCTGCTGGAGTGGCTGCTGGGAGACAGCGATCTGAAAAGAGACTCAGAGACTTCAGCCCCGGTAATTTTAACAACCAGTTGCTATCTCATGTTGGGATCGCTATGTTTCTGCAGTCTTGTGGTAGGAATAGAATGAAGTATCTCATCTGATGCAGCCTGATGATCACTACTCCAGTATTAACTGATTTACAATTTAAAATAAAAATTCACATGGATAGTATTTAGAATAAAAATAGTTTGATGTTTGTTTCCTAGCAATATCAGCATAAAATTAAAGAGACCGATAAGCAAACATTGAAATAAATCAAGAGCTACTTAAAAAATCATTGTTGACTGAAACATTTTGAGGCTGTAACTAACTGCGTTCAGTATCATTGCAGATGATGGCTTGCCTTGAATTTAAACTGCTGCTGTGGGTGCCAGGCACACCTGGCATTCAAGCACAGTGTTCTCCCAACTGCTGGCTTTTCCAGAGATGGCATTTAAATATTTGGTAACTTTGTGCCACCTTCCATACGACCAGTTTTGTACAGCGCACGGAACAGCCTCTCTCACATCAGTCATTGTCTTCAGAAGGATTATTTATGTAAAGAAAAACTTTGCCATGCTGGCTCTGTAAAACCTAATGCTGTATAATACACTGGGCTCTCTTTGTCTTGAAAAGACTGTAAAAATCAAAATAATGCTGGAAGGTAAACCGGAAGGAGCAGAAGTGGCTATGTCTTTGAGAAGTTCGTTGACAATTAATGTGACCCATGAAATATATTATGAATCTTTTCTTAAGCCTGTGGCTTAGGTATGCCTTTCTGATGTTTCACTGACTGATACAATTTTCCTTTTTTATTTAATCCACTCAAAAAGCTCCATGATACAGCAAATTACCATACTGGTTACAGAGAGGTCTCTGTGAAATGTAAGACAATTTCACAGGGGAAGGCAAGCACGTGTTAAGGATTAGGATTACTATTTACTTCCACTGTTTCCCAAGAGTTATACCATAACTGCCTGATTTTTGAAGGTAAAATTTCTTTGGCAAAGTAGGAACCTTTTTTACTGCGTTTTCTCAAACCTTTGAAAAATGATGCATATGAATTTTTACCTTTTTTTTTAATATAAAGAAGCTGTTCTGTAACAGCCTCTATTGTCATTATTTCTCTATATAACTTCTTTCATATCTTTTATAATTTTCTCATTATTATCAAGACCACAAGTCATTTTCTAATCACTGTTGTTTTTCTTTTTGTTAAGGAAGAAGATGATTACCTGTTTGATAAAGGGGAAGTGAATTTTTGGGCAGAGAAGTTGACTCATGTCAGGCAACTTAGTAAGCACCTTTTACAGCTTATATCAATGACTCATCTAACGTTACCAGATCACGGAGAACTTAATCGACTATCAAGAATAGCACTGGACCAAGCCCAGCTCGTTGGACACTTTCTTAGAGCACTACCTCTGACTCCAGAATTTTCCAAAACTGCAGAATTCACAAGATTGGCTATTCAAAATGAGAGACTATCGGTCTGCCTTAAAATATTAAATCTGCTGAAGTCTGATGATACTTGCAAAAATGAAAATCTGGAAAAGTAAATTACTAAAAATTCATCCTCAGGGAGCTGCACACATGTTACTGGATGGGCAGGGAGACTGAATTCTAACGATGTTGAAGGAATAAGGGATTGCTATAATGACTCCGGTAAACCTGCAACAAACTATTCGGCATTCAGGCTAAACCCACATTTTTTATATATGAGTCCATTGTTGTCAGATGTGCTGTGTGAGACTGTTCCTTTTAAATGCATTTGCTAATTTCATTCAGCTGAGCATGGTTTATTATAGCTACTGTAGGAAGTAAAGCAGCTAAACCTAATATTTTCCATTCATCCAGGTGCAGGCCACCTGTAGTTGCGTTACGTTTTATCCCACATTTTTACCTCCTGTATTTTAATGCCAAGAAAATGTTGAATTTTTTTTTTTTTTTCTTGGTCTCCTTTCAGGATGTGGAATGGTAATTATTAAATTAATATGGTATTTTTCTATTTTATTTTTAAGTGTTTCTAAAAGAAAAGAAACAAACCTTGGCTTCTTTGTCCATGACAATTTTTAGACTACATTTTAAATTTTACTGCATTTTCCTCTGGAGGAAGGCAAGGATTCTCACTTTGGTGGTAACCTTGTTTTGCACATGGAAACAGCTTTAGTTAGACTTTTGCATGCCTCTTTTTTCCTGTAAATCAAATAATTACTTTTATAAAATTGCTGTAAAATGAAGACCGCTGCGTTCAAAACAAAGCAGCTGTTCCGTTGCTCTGCAAGCAGTCTTGGAAAGTAAGGTCCTACTCAGTAGAGTTAGGCCCCCAGAAGCGTACCAGAAGTGATGCCGTGCTGCCGGGAGGTGCTGTCACCGGCGCTCAGGTGAGGCAGCTGTGGCGAATATACCCAGGTGGTCAACAGTGTCCTTGTCCGAAACACAAAAATGTTTGTTGTGCTTTGCAAATGTAGTTTTCTGGGAACTGAAATTGGATTTCAATATGAAAACGAGACATCGAAAGTAAGTATTTATTTAAAAAGGATACGCTGCGTTCCTCTAGCCAAGAGCTGTGACTTTACGTTTGCTCTGGCATAGCTGGGCACAGCCAAAGGAAGGATGTACGTCGGTGTACCTTGTTACTTCAGTCTCCTTGGAGGAGTAACGTGTCCAATAAACGACCGTTTGCTTTCAGTCTCTTCGCGTAATGGTACCCAATTGTAAATCTTGACGGCGACGGTACGGGTTAACGAGCGGTTCCCCCACGGCCGGGGC